TGGCTCTGTACTTCTATTGGACTGGTTCCCTCACCAGCTCCAAAGAGGTTCTGGAGACCTAGCAGGAACAGGAGCAGCACCTTAGCCAAGAGGATTCCTAGCCTCCTGCCTCTTCCTGGGTTCTCCTTGTTAGGTTCCCAAGGAATAAACTGAGTTCCCATTGGCAGTACTTGCAGGTATTGCTGGTCCACGGCAACATCTGTTTTAGGGGTTTTCTGATACAGGAACCCAGGAGACAGAGGTTGCAGTGAGTCAAGATGATGCCACTGCACTCCAGCCTGGGTGACAGAGTGAGACTCCTTCACACACACACACACACACACACACACACACACACACACACGGATTGCTTCTACACTGTTGGTAGGAATGTAAATTAGTTTAGCTACTGTGGAAAGCAATTTGAAGACTTCTCAAAGAACTTAAAATTGCTATTCAACCTAGCAATCCTATTACTGGGTATATATCCAGAAGAAAATAAGTCGTTCTACCAAAAAGACACATGCACCTGTATGTTCATCACAGCACTATTCACAATAGCAAAGACATGGAATCAACCTATGGAATAACAATGAATAACAATGGAATAACATTGAATAACATGGAATAACAATGAACTGGATAAGAAAATGTAGTATTCCATGTATATTCCATATACATCATGGAATACTATGCAGCCATAAAAAATGATGAAGTCACATATCCTTGTGGTAACACAGATGCACCTGGAGGCCATTATCCTAATCAAATTAACACAGGAACAGAAAACCAAATACTGCATGTTTTCACTTAGAAATGGAAGCTAAACATTGAGTTTACATGGACATAAAGATGGCAAAAATAGACACTGGGGACTACCAGAAGGGACAAGGAGGGAGAGGACGAGGCCTGAGAAACTGACCATTTCCAGTGGTTATGCTATGCTCACTACCTGGGTGACGGGATCAATTGCACTCCTAAACCTCAGCGTCACTCGATATACTCAGGTAACAAACCTACACATGTATCCTCTGAACCTAAAATAAAAGTTGAAATTGTTTTTAAAAAAGGAAGTACTTTTGAGAACAGGGAGTGCTGGTCCAAGAGTATTGTAGCTTTATCTCTAATGACGTGAATCTAAAAAGAAGCATTTATTCAAATATTACTTATAATAATAATAATTACTCTTAAAAATAAAAACATTTGAGGATATTGGACTCGATCAGTGACGTTCAGCCAGTTTTGGCTGTGACCCCACATTAAGAAATCTATTTTTTGGCCTGGCACATTGGCTCACATCTGTAATCCTAGCACTTTGGGAGGCCAAGGCAGGTAGATCACTTGAGGTCAGGAGTTAGAGACCAGCCTGACCAACATAGTGAAACCCTGTCTTTGCTAAAAATACAAAATGGCACATGCCTGTAATCCCAGCTAGTTCGGAGGCTGAGACAGGAGAATTGCTTGAACCTAGAAGATGGAGGTTGCAGTGAGCCAAGATCATGCCATTGCACTCCAGCGTGGGCAACAAGAGTGAAACTCCATCTCAGAACAACAACAAAAAAGAAACTTATTTTTCACTGCCATTCAGAATACCCATATATATCTATTTCTGCAGATACAAACTGAGACAGAAGTTTCATGAAACAATATTTACTCTTGCCATAAGCAGTGCATTCTGCTATTTTGTTTTGCAATCTATTTCATTTTTTAAGGGGGTTAGTACTTTGACATATGAATTTGGGGAAGACACAAATATAGTTGATAATGGTGAGGAGTTCAACAGGATAATGTGGGTAAAAATGCTAAGTGTGATGTAAATGTGTGCGTGTGTGTGTGTGTGTGTGTGTGTGTGTGTTCCCAAGGCCCTGGGATGAACTCAGGGTGCGTTTCTAGATACTGTTGACCTACAGCTTTGAAATGGGCCCATGTCTACCCTCCTGAGTTGGAGGATTTAAAATGCTCCCAGGTGTCCTTGCCATCAGGGTACAATTCTGCCCCCAGCCCGTGCAGCTTCTGGCAGGTTGTCATACAAACCAAGGACTGACCTGCTACTTTTACTTTTGTAAATATTCAGTCAAAAGACAAATGATATTTTTCAATTCTGAGCAAGGCTTTACCATGACAAGCAACTACCTCTCAGTTTGTTTGGGGAACACTGAAAAACCAAGCGTTAAGAAGAGAAATGAAGCAAACCAGAGAAATGTTTTGGAAAGACCTTTCAGAGAACAGGAATCTTCAGGGTAAGTCAATCCTGGGGGTAGAAAATATTTCTTCACTAAAGGAACATAGGCGAATAAGAATTATTTTCAAATCCCAAATCCTGTATTTTCTCATTACGCTTGGCCCAATTTACATAATCATATACATTTGCATGTTATTTACATTTGCGTATTATTTTCTACGGACTTGAGAATCCCTGACCACTGTAATTATGAAAAATACAGACTGAGTCTGTTTTGGTTTGCTTTGTTTTGTTGTTGAGAGAGAGGGAGAGTGTCAGTCTTCTGTCCTATTTGATTACCATTGTATCAAATTTTGCCGGAAATAAGTCAGTCAGTAGATGTGACTGGAAAATAATTCCTTCTTGTTTTCTTTTGAAGATTTGGCTACTAAGTTTATGAAACTTACTGATATTAAAACAAAATGAAATGAAGGCCATTCAAAGCCTATATTGAGGGACAAACTGAAGACTGGGACATGGAGTAAGAAAAGAAAATCACAGCTGCCTGTCCTTGCAGCTGGGGCTTCCTAACAGCTTTGCCGTCAGCTCCATTCATATACTTTCCCTCAGAGAGACTTGAGGCCAGCATAGAGCATCAGCGTCCAGGCTAGGAACAATCACTTTGAATGGGAGAAGTAAAGCACAGTGTTTGAATTGGCATTCAGTGGACACATTGAAGAAAGTGAGGATGAGCTGTCCTAGAGACAGTGATGTTTAAAACTCTTTAGTGGTTCCCCACTGTCTTCAGGATCAAGTTCAAAACCCTAAGTCCATTTGGAGGCCTAAACCCCTAAATCATTCATGGCCCTGTCTGATGAGGTTTCTGGCCTCCTCTCCAGCTTCTTGCCTCTGCTTCACTCTCTCTACTCTTGCCTGCCTCTATCTGTTCTCCACAGAGCAACCAACGTGGTCTTTTAAAGCCACTAAGACCCTCCGAAGAATTTGCATTGTTTTGAGAATACAGTCCAGACATTTTTGCATGCCCTGCAAGTCTCCATGTGGCTGGGCCTCTGTCTACCTTGCCAGCCCCGTTTCTAACTGTCTCTCCCTTTCACTGCATTTCAGCCACATTGCCCTCCTTTCTGTTGCTTGAACACATCAACTCTTTACGCCTTGATGGCCTTTGCAACCTCTGTTCCTCCAGCCAGGAACACTTTTCCAGGTGTTCCCTTCTCACCCCCAAAGCCTTTGCCAGGTCACTGTCTAGCCAGCCAGTCTCTCGCTCTCTATCACATTACTGCTTTATATTCCATTCTCTAAATTGATCATGTTGACTTCTGACCCCTAGAATCTGAGCACCCTCAGAGCAGAGACTATGTCTATCTTGTTCACCAGCATATTCCCAGTGTCTAGATTGGTGGGCCTAACATAAAACAAGTTTCAATAAAAATTAGTGACTCAGTGAATAAATGAATGTATGAGAACCAGTGGTTCTCAAACTTGAACGTGCTACTTTGGGAGGCTGAAGTGGGAGGACCCTGGGCCACATAGCGAGACCCCCTGTCTAAAAAATAAAATTAAAAAATTAGCTGGGCATGGTGGTGTGCACTTATAGTCTCAGCTACTTGGGAAGCTGAGGCAGGAAGATTGCTTAAGCCCGGGAGTTGGAGGCTGCAGTGAACTGTGATTGAATCACTGCAGTCCAGCTGAGCAATAAAGCGAGACCCTGACCTTAAAAAAATTAATAATTTAAAAAAATCTTGAATGTGTATCAGAATCACCAAGAGCCTTCTTAAAACAGGTTGTTTGTCCTACCTCTAGAGTTTGGATTTGGTACGACCAGGGTAGGGACCGAGAATTTGCATTTCTCCCAAGTTCCCCGATGATGCTGAACCTGCTGGTTGTGAGACCACCGTTTGAGAAATGCTGGTACCATCCATAGCTAAGTGCTTGAGTTCTGGGATCACATATGTTTAATAGTCCACGACTTTGTTCCCTGTCTTCTTTTCCTAGAGCATGGTTTCTTTATTCCTTGGGCAAACCTCCCCACCTGCTTCAAGATGTGGATGAGCATCACTTCCTCCAGAACGCCATGTCTGATCCTTGGTGCCCAAATCTCTGCCCCTTAGCACCTGGTGCAAAGGGACTCCTAACCTTTCCAGGCTGCATTGGGTTAACCCTGCACATTAACTGGATTTTCAGACCACGAGTCCTCCAGAGCCTGCATTAGTCATGTCTGTGTGCCAGCTGGAAGCTCAGGGATATTCCCTCTGATCTCTGAGAGGGTACGTGATGCCTCAGAAAATGAAGTCAGAACCACACCCTGGGGACACCTAGACTTCCAGCTCATGTTCAAGGCTCATTATTTCCAGAAGGCTTTGCCCACAAGCCGCCTTTTTGCTTTTTCCTTTTACCAACTCAACCCTTACAGTGTCTCCTCCCCTTTGTCTCCAATGTTTAATTTCTCCAGCTTGTGCTCAAACCTAACGGTTCCATTTATTTTGGTCAGCCTTAATGTACTATAATAACCTGTAGAGAGCACTAGGTCACTTCCTTGAACTAGGTCAGCAAATGCTAAAATTGATTGGTGGTGGGGGAGGAGAGAGAGAGAGACAGAATGAGAGACTTGCTAATGGGTTCTCAAATTCTAATTTTATCTTCCTAAATACTGCTCTTTGAAACCTTCTCCATGTTTCCCAATTATTCCGAGAAATCTCAGTGCTGTTCCCTTGCCTAAACAAAGCTAATACAGGGGCAGAAGAGTGGGTGGGGTTCCCTGGAGGCCCAGCCTGCAGTGAGGAATCCCATGTCTCAGCTGTCCGTGAGTCCTACTGATGCTCATGTTTTGGAAGAAACTCACCTTGCTGTGGTGGTGGAGCTGCACCCAGCCTCCGTAGCCAAACCTCTGCAGTGGGGAGAAGCGCAGTTAGAGTCAAGGAGCAAAGACTGGGCTGCAATCAAGGGGCATCCTTAGCGCAGAGGATCCTGAGCTCCATCTTTTAAGCACTGCCTTTGCATTTCCCCCATATCCATGTAGTGCTTATTCAACATTTACAATTAAATTCACTTATATTTTTCCTCCAATATATTGATATAGGAAGAAAAATTCTGTATCTCAGCATTGCTGGTTTTATCTTTTCCCCTAATGCAGCTTGAATTTTTTTTTTTTTTTTTTGAGACGGAGTTTCGCTCTTGTTACCCAGGCTGGAGTGCAATGGCGCGATCTCGGCTCACCGCAACCTCCGCCTCCTGGGTTCAGGCAATTCTCCTGCCTCAGCCTCCTGAGTAGCTGGGATTACAGGCACGCGCCACCATGCCCAGCTAATTTTTTGTATTTTTAGTAGAGACGAGGTTTCACCATGTTGACCAGGTTGGTCTCGATCTCTCAACCTTGTGATCCACCTGCCTCAGCCTCCCAAAGTGCTGGGATTACAGGCTTGAGCCACCGCGCCCGGCCTGCAGCTTGAATTTTTAAAGTGAAGATTAACATGAAAAAATATTTGTTCACGTACCATCTAAAATCATTTCATAGGCCGGCAGGAGTACATCGCCCCCAAGGACCACTCTTTGGGAAATACACTGCTCTTCAAACTGTGGGTTGCAATCCTTGAGTAGATGGTGGTATCAGTTTAGTGGATAGAGACACAAACGTTTTAAAACAGGAAATAGTGTAGGTGGCAGATGCTGTTGGTGTCTACTCATACCCCTTTGCTTTGACACTTCTGTGCATGCTAGCCCACCTCCATCAGCCAGCGTCTGCATTTCATTGGTTGAGGCTTTCCCCTGGAACCTGCTTTGATCAAGCCATCCTAGCATGTCAGAAGTACTAGAAAATTAGCCCCCTGCATCCTCTCGGCCCAACAGCCCTTAACAGATAATTGAGGGAGTTGTATATAAGTACACTGAACACACCATGCCCTACCCCTCAGTCAGGATAATGCGAAGATGAGGCACACATTCTGCTCTGGAATACGAACCTTTCACTGGCTGCCCTGTTTTCCCTGCCTCACTTCCCCACTCTACTGGTGTTTCCTGGGATCACCTCCAAAGCAAACTACTTGCAGTTGAATTCTTGTCTCAGGGTCTGCTTTTTGGAAAACATAAGAGAGTAAAGAATGGAATGGAATAGAATAAATTAGGATGTCTCCCATGTGGTAATGGTTTCATAACACTTTTTCTTCCCGTTTAATGTATATAAATGTTTGTACTGAGTCACAGTGTAAAATAGATTTCTTCCTGGGGATCCTGCATAAAAACTGTTGAAAGCCACTGACTTACAAACATCGGTAAATATGACTCAAGTAACTATTGGCTTTGTCATATACCATCATATCGTTATTCATTCTTCACGCTTTCATGGAGTCTCATCTATGACGAGCCTTACGAGGGCAGAGAAAACAAAAGTGAAGGGCAGTTCCAGCCCGTGTGAAACAAAATCTTGGGAGGTTAAGGCTAGGGTAGGCAAGGAATCCAAGGGCTACATCATCGCATGTGAGAGGCACTGTGACCATGATGCACAGGTGCTCTGGGGGTCTCAGGGAGGGAGCTGACGTATACCTTGGGCTGCGGTATTGGGAGGGAGGTTGAAAAGCTTATCCTGGGGTGAGATTGGAGAGGATTGTCTAGTGTTCAGGATTTCCACGCTCCGTGCATGGCTCTCACAGTTTGATGTCAGAGGGAAGGAATGGAGACAGGAGATAGCTATGAGGGAGATCCTTAATGGCTCTGATTTGGTCAGCGGTGATGGGTCAATGAGTAAAGCAAGCTGAACATCAACTCAACCTCTTGCTTGTTGTGGCTGGATGAGGCCAGGGTGCAGCAGTTGGTTTTCATGCCATGGTGTAGGGAAGTTGTCTATAGGGAGTCAGGTCTTGGTGGAGCCCTTTCCCTAGCTCCTGTCACCTCTACACTGAGGGGAAGGTCTGGGCCTGGGCCACGGTGCAGTATAGAGGTGTTTGTGTCTCTGTGTCTGTGCCTGGAGTCTCAACAGCTTTGTAAGGTTTGGATTAATTCTTTACCAGTCTTATTCTACCTAGGTACAGGTCTGTTCCTGAGTCCTAGCCCCAAATAGTCATACTACCTTTAGAAATCTGTCTTCTGTTTCCTCCTCAGCAACATCAGCAGACCCAGTTTTGCAGGCTGGGCAGGCAAGGGTAACTATTGGCCAGAGCTCAGCTTCTCCTCCCTGCACCAGGCTCTCCTTTGCCTATGCCCACAACCCCTGCTCCCACCCTTCATGCATGCAATACTCTTGTATTCTTTCCTTCTTTCCCCCTGGAAAATACTGCCAAGTCAGGTGTGTTGCAGGAGGGGTGGAATATGACTTTAATCAGTTACACTTTAGAGTAAACTTAAGACTATGTGCTCTCAACTGGAAATTTGCCGTTGAACTTTTATCCTTAATGTAGAAGAAAAGGTTTTATTTCCTTCTTTCTTTACTGCCTGCTTTCTCCCTCTTATTCCTCACTCTCTTTCTTTCTTACTTTTTTGTAATTGTATAAGGAACTCCGCTCCATATATTAGCAGGTGAGAGAAGTATTCCATTTGGGGAAGGGCAGGGAGGCAGGAAAGGCCGAGCAGAGGGATCCTCTCTCATGCAACAATTCACTTACAAGGCCCTTGACTTTGTTGGTGTGAAATGTCTCCAAGTCACTGTTTCCTAATGCATATTAATAAAATGATGCTAACAGGAGTGGCTGGGACATAAGGTTTTTTGGGAATTAGCTGAGATAGTACATATAACGTTGCTGACACCAGGCCTGCCAGTGGACAGGGCTTCATTCGTGCTAACAATGATGCTGATGGTGATGGTGGTGATGGTAGGGGCACGAATGGCCATGGTGGAGGGAGTGAGGTGGGGGTAGTGGTGTGGCTGTAGTGGTGAGTATGGTGGCAGTGGTGGTACCTGTGATGGGTGATGGTGATGGTGGTGGCAGTGATAGCCATGGTGATAGTAGCAGTGGGGATGGTGATGGGGGTGGCAGTAGTGACAACAGTCTTATTCCAACCCCAATTGGAATACCCTGGGGTCAGAACTAAGGAGAGCTGTGAAGAAAAGAACCTTTTGTCACTCTGTGTCTATACCTCCCTCCTTTTCCTGGAAAGCATGAAGTGCCAATTTACATCACGAGGCCCCTTGCAAAGACCTAACTTATTTAGGGAAACTTTATTCTTCTCCAGGTCTGTGCTTGACATAGCCCGCCATTCTCATCCTCGGTTGAGCTGAGCTTGGGGTCTCAAATTTATGAACCTGGGAGTGGTTTTGGTCCAAGCAAATGCCGGGAAGTATTTACAGTCTGAAAGTGTTTGACAATAACCAGCGTCTCATAGACATGTATGAGCATGCCAAAAAGAAAAGCAAATTGAAAACATTCCAGGGAATTCAGTTTTATATATTGGAGTTACTTTATAAGGCCTCTGCTTTCATGACATCACCTCTGGAAGGCTGTGTCTCCTAATACCATTGTCTTGTGGGTGGGGGTCTTGACTGAATTTTGGGGGAGACATACACATTCAGACTGTAGCTCTTTCTAAGCCTCAAAATCCTTGTCTGGACAAGGAGGTGGATGCCCTGCAGCTTGGAGCCCTGCTTGGAGGGCCCACCATGCTAGCTAGCTCTCTCAGGGGGAGAGTACAGGTGGGCAGTGTCCTCTAGAGACCACAATAGTGGTTTCCAAAGCATTTCATGTGGATGTTCTTTGATACTCAAATAGAGAAAAAAAGCTGTAACATAGGAATTGGTGCTATTAGTGACCGAGGGGTGGGGCATGGTGTGTTCAGTGTATTTATATACATCTGTTAAGGGCTGTTGGGCCGAGGGAATGCAGGGGGCTAATTTTCTAGTACTTCTGACATGCTAGGATGGCTTGATCAAAGCAGGTTCCAGGGGAAAGCCTCAACCAATGAAATGCAGACGCTGGCTGATGGAGGTGGGCTAGCATGCACAGAAGTGTCAAAGCAAAGGGGTATGAGTAGACACCAAAGCATCTGCTACCTACACTATTTCTTGTTTTTTTTTTTTTTTTTTTTTTTTTTTTTTGAGACGGAGTTTCGCTCTTGTTACCCAGGCTGGAGTGCAATGGCACGATCTCGGCTCACCGCAACCTCTCCTGCCTCAGCCTCCCGAGTAGCTGGGATTACAGGCATGCACCACCATGCCCAGCTATATTTCCTGTTTTAAAATGTTTCAAAGATGGCTCAGTATCATTTGTATTTTTCAATCCACAGTTTCTACCACCCATCTTACCTAAGATACCAATGGACAAAGCAGTACTTAAGATAAACATCCTTCTATGAGACAACTACAAAAAGAAAATAGTTTCCTCTACTTGCACAATGAACCACATTTAATTCAAGTTTGGATTAATTCATTTTCCCTCACTTGGGATAAAACAGTTGAAACATTATCGTTGGTGTGAAAGTACTGGCCGAATGCTGAAGATTGGATAAAAGCTGATAATAAGCCTGAACAAATCTCTAGCCAACTTTACATTTTCTTTATGTTCCTTACGTTCCTCTTTTTGTATTCGTTTGAAAGTTCTTAATGACAAAAGGAAATTTTCATCTTTAGAGAAACACAAGGAATATTCTTTAGGAGATGTCACTGCGCAAAAGCTTCATGTCATTTATTCTAGGGTTTTTTGATGTACCTACTTCCTAGTTCTTCATGACAAAGATTTATAGAATAGAGAACATCAAACAGTGAAGGTTTCAGGCAGTATCCTAAAATAGACTAAAAATTTACAAAGCTATCTCTTGGTGCTTCTAAAACTTATTTTGAACATTTTGGAAAGGAGATATATTTTAGAAGTCCTCAAAACCCATCACATTTCATTTTTAATAGTCTTTTACTTAAAACTGTAACTTTAAATTCTGTAGTTGGCATGTATCTTCCCAGCAGCTGAATATGTGATTTTAAAAAAGGTAAATCTGCCTGACTTAAATTGACCAGAAATTTTAAAGAATGCTTCATTTGAGGGAAAAAAGGGATTCCGAGAAAGTGCTTATTTCTTTAATCCAATGTTCTTTCAAAATAAATATAAAAGTCATTTTTAATAACTAGGAAATCAGAGCTACCAAATAATTTAACCTCCCCGACCCTGACCAAAGCAGATAAACATAATATCTAATTCCACAAAGAAGAGAAAGGCATTGGGAAACCCGGGAGAAGTTTCAGAAATAATTCAGCAAATTAGTTACCATTACCTTTTCTAGATCTGGCCATTCTTTTGGTAGAATATGACTATGGATGTCAATTTTCATTGCCACAGGATCAGTGAAGCATGTAAGGATAAAAGTTTTGATGTCAAGAGACCTTTGTGAAAACTGTGGAGTTAACTGATTTACTTAGTCTTTTTATAGCCATCTTCAGGCACCAGTCAGTAGGCCTGCCCAGCCCAGTCTAGCTCTATTAGAACTGCCTTATTAAGGTTCAAAGTTCTGTTTATTTGTTAACTAAGCTTTGGTTAACCAAGCTTTATTTGTTAACCAAGCTTTGGGTTCAACCCTCTTTGGTAGTCAGGACTCTTGGCACAAAACTTAAAACAACCAAACAAACAAACAAAAAAAACACCACAAAACAAACAAACAAACAAAAAAAAACAAAGAGCTGTACTCGACTGTATGAGATCAAAAGCACAACAGGATGTTTAGACTTACAGCAGGCCAAAACTGGACTAATTTTTCATTTTAAATATTTTAAGTTTTGTAAAGCTATACATAGTTAATAATTAAATAGTTTGTAGTTAAAAATAAAACCATGTGGAGGGCTTTTACAGAAAAAGGACAAATCACTAACTCATCTTTTCTTACCTTTCCTTGCACTATTCAGAAGCAGCCAGTTTTTATGCTTTTGCTTTTTGTTCAGTTAGTTACTTCCATATCTTTAAATAACATTTAACAATTGGCTTGTTCATGAAAATTTGGCGTGTTGAAAAGTTGTGGGGAAGTTTCATATTTACTTTAAAATCACAGAAGGAGTCCACTCTTCATGCACGTTTTTTCCTCCAATGCCTTTGTCTCAGACTCATTCATTCATGTATTTTTTTCCTTTTTTTTTTTTTTTTTCAATTTGAGACACAGTCTTGCTGTACTAGCTAGTCTCAAACTCCTGCGCTTGAGTTGTCCATCCGCCTGGGCCTCCCAAAGTGCTGGGATTACAGGCATGAGCTTAATTCATGACTTTAACAGATACTTATGGAGAACTGCTATGTGCTGAGGATGTAAGGTTGACTGAGAGATAAGGTGATACATATGCTGTAATGGATAATTGCACACAGCCTGAAGTATAGGGAAAAGAAGATAGTAGCCATTTCCATTTAGCATTGTCAGAGCAGTCATGTAGGGCTTCATGACTGCTGAAAGTGGGGCTTATGGTCATGCCTCTGAGAGAGAGGCTGGAACAAAACAGCCCTCGATTGTTTTGTGTTTACCCTTTCCTCTTCCTGCAAAGCTTAATATGTTCAAGGGACCCCAGATACCCTGGCAAATCTTTAAACCTGCCTTGGATACTCCCTTCCACTCAGACTCCACAATACATAAACTGAGTAGTCAAAAAGCTTCCTTCTGTAATTCAGCTAGATTCTGTATAAATTATAACAAACAGCTTGAAAGAAAATAAAAGAAATCCTTGAAATCCATTTTTTGAAAAAGTCCAGTGAGCTAAAACTGAATAAGTAAGCCTTAAACTAACATGGAGGCACTTGCTAATACGCAGTAAGTAAGTGTGTGCAAGCACTTTTAGAGCACTCCCAATGGGCTAGGTACTGGTCCATGAATTTTATAATAGCAGTTCACTTATTACTCATAACATTCCTATGGGGGAAAAACTAGGACCAATATTCATTTTATAGAAGAGGAAACTGAAGCACAGAGAAGTTAAGTAACTTGTTCATGGTTACACAATAGTATGTGGGAGAACTGGAATTAGAATCCAGACAGTGTGGCTTCAGAATCCTAGAGAGTCCAGGTTTAGTATCCCACAAGGGAATGGGAGATAATAATATGGGCTTGTACAAAGTGGAAATGCCCTCATTACACTAACAGTCTTGACGGTTCTAGACTCTTAGGGAAAAAGTAGACTAGGAAAAAAATCCATTGGCCCAAAAAGGGAGTCTGTTATAAAATCTGTTTTCATTATGAGGGGGAAAAAAGAGAAGAAGTAAGTTTTCGCTGAGAAGTTCTTTGAGAATTACTATTCAAGGTCACCCACTGAGATTTTAGTTAATATGGTACTAGGTTGGTAATGCTCATCTACTTCCTCTCACCCTGTCATAGTCCATGTAGTGTTGCTTTAACAGAATACCTGAGTCTGTATAAAGAAAAGAAACTCATTTGGCTCACAGTTCTGCTGACTGGAAAGTCCAAGAATGTTGCACCAGGAGCTGTTTAGCTTCTGGTGAGGGCCACATGCTGAGTCACAACATGGCAGAGAAGCAGAAAGATGAGCAGATGTGTACAAAGAGAGACAGGACAAAGGAGACTAATGAGTTTTGTAACAACCCACTCTTGGGAGAACAAATCTGTTCCTCTGAGAATGAATCCAACCTCACAAACTAAACCAGTCTTGTGAGAAACCCATCTTAGCAGCCTAATCACCTCTTAAAAACACTGCTTCCCGACACTGCTACATTGGCAATTAAATTTTAACATGTTTTGTTAGGAAGAAATTACATCCAAACCATAGTACTACTCTTGGCCAGAAAAAGGAAATGTAAATCCTCTCTGAAGAAAGACATCCCAATTCTGTCTCCTCAGTATTGCCACAGAGTAAGCACCCCCCCAAAAATATTGTCTCATGATAAAAAATTCTACACACATGAGGGAAAATGTCACTATAAGCAAGAGTCCACAGATATAATAAATAATAGGTTTAAACCTCCAGGAAGGTTTACCAAGTTTGAAAAGGAGCAAAATGAAAAATAAAAATGAAATAAAAAAATTTAAAATACTCATTGGACAAGTTAAACAGCAAAATAAATGTGGCTAAAAATAGAATTAATGAAGTGGAAGAGAACTTTCACACAGAGATGAAGGAATTGAGCATATGTAAGGCACAAAACACAATGGTTAGAATAAAAAAGTTTAAATGGAGTCTAACTGTAGTGCTAAAATAGAGGAGACACAAGTTGGAGAAGAGATACTCCAAGAGATAGGAGCCGAGAATTTTCTGGACCGAATGAACCAACCGATCCAGGAATCAAAAACTGTATCAAGAAGAACTGACAAAAATTCATTTGTAGAAACCTTGTAGTGAAAAACTACAGAACAGCAAAATAAAAATAAGATCTTTGAGCTGTTAGAGAGAAAGAAAGATAATGCCTCCAAAATTCGGGAATTAGACTGACAGTGTACTTCCCATGGCATTAATGAGATCCATAGGACAATATGATAATATATTCAAAAGGCTAAGGGACATTAACTGTGAACTTAGAATTGTACACCATGTAAAATTTTAACAATGAGGGAGAAGTAAAGACATTTTCAGATAAAAACTGAATTTCTATCGACAGAGCCTCACTTAAGAAATGTTTAGGCCAGGTGCGGTGGCTCAAGCCTTTAATCCCAGCGCTTTGGGAGGCTGAGGCGGGTGGATCACGAGGTCAAGAGATCGAGACCATCCTGGTCAACATGGTGAAACCCCGTCTCTACTAAAAATACAAAAAAGTACCTGGGCATGCTGGCACATGCCTGTAATCCGAGCTACTCAGGAGGCTGAGGCAGGAGAATTGCCTGAACCTGGGAGGCAGAGGTTGCGGTGAGCCGAGATCACGCCATTGTACTCCAGCCTGGGTAACAAGAGCGAAACTCCGTCTCAAAAAAAAAAAAAAAAAAAGAAAAAAGAAAAAAAGAAATGTTTAAACGGCATACTCCTAAAAGAAAGAAAATGACTCCAGAAAGATGGTCTGAAATGCAAGACTGAATGGGGAACAAACAAATTGGTAATCTTATAAGTAAATCTAAATATATTAAGTAGTATTACTTCTACCACCACCAATAATAATAATAGTAATGCCTTTTTTAAGGAGTTAAGATGCTAGCAAAATGTTACCCAACTGCATCTGTGGCATGCCGTACCAACAGTGAATCTCCTAAATTTACCGTCTTTTGCAATCTGGATAAACTGAGAGTTTCTTAAATCATTAAGTCCTGCTTTCTTTTAGTTTACTATTTTATCAATCTATCTTTTCCTTTTGCATGTAATATAAACAAGAAGAAACCAGGATGAATCTTTAATACTTTGCTTGGAAATCTCAGCTAAACATCCAGTTTTATCACTTACAAGTTCTGATTTACACACAACTGTAGGGAACACAATTGGTTTAAGTTTTCTGCCACTATATAACTCACTTTCCTCCAGTTTCTGACATGTTCTCATTTCCTTCTGAGCCCTCACCACATTGCCTTTAATATGTATGTTTCTACCAATGGTATGTTTATGATGATTAAGGTGTTCTCCAAGACAATATGTGTTCTCTCTACCAGGCTTCTCACTTCCTTCGAGCTCTCACTGGCAGAATCTTTAACATCCATATTTCTACTAACAGTCTCTTCAAGGCCATCTAGGATTTTCAGTATTCTTTTACCCTCTGCCTAATGTCCCATTCCAAAGCTGCTTCCACATCTTTATGTGTTTATTACAGTGGTACTCCATCTTCAGGTACCAAAGTCTGTATTAGCTTCCAATTGCTGTTGTAACAAATTACTGCAGACTTAATGGTTTAAAACACACAAATTTATTCTCTCATAGATCTAGAGAAAAGAAGTCTAACATGGATCAGCAGGGCTATTTTTCTTCTGGATGCTCTGCAAAAGAATTATTTCCTTGCCTTTCTAGCTTCTGGAGACTATCTGCATCCCAGGCTTCTGCCCCCACAAGCCCCATCTTCAAAGACATTGGTGCAGCATCCTCTAGTCTTCTCTGCTTCTATCATCACCTTGCCTTTTTAAAATTTCTACTAACAGTCTCTTCAAGGCAATCTAGGATTTTCAGTATTCTTTTACCCTCTGCCTAATGTCCAATTCCAAAGCTGCTTCCTGCCTCCTTCTTATAAGGGCCTGTGTAACTACATTGGGCTCACCTAGATAACCCTGGATAATCCTTACTAAATTACATTTTAAAAGCCCTTTTTATCATGTAAGGTAACAGGTTCTAGGGATTATAATGTGGACATCTTTGAGCAGGTGGAGGGGGACACTTTTCAGCTGCCCCTAATTAGGCATTGTAAAATTTCCAGAGTAACTACTAAAAGAATACAAATAGAACATATAACTTATAAGCCAGTGAAGTGAAAAATGGAATAAGAAAAAAAAATTAATTCAAAAGAAGGCAATAAAAGAAAAAAACAGAAATATTAGGGCAAATAGAAA